ATCCCATTTCATTCCCCCCACCCTCCCCACCTCCCAGTGTCTGCATGTCATCAGTGGCCCAAATGTGGAGCTTTCAGAGCATTGTCCAGAGATGAGAGGTTATAATGGCTTTCCTCCTCTTAGGATTTTTTTAAATTTGTTTTTTCCCCTCCAGTCAGAGTGAGGTTTTAACTGGCCTGCACTGCTCTGACACTGTCTCCTGTCTCCACGGACTGAGGCTGCTCTTTGTCCATGCTAATCAATGAAAACATTTGCTTTTGACGTTCAGATGAATGAAGGTTACATTACCTGTCTGGAAGGAAGAATGAAATTGTGCTCATTCTGAACGCTACTGTGTTCAGTTGTGTGTGTTAAAAATTTTGTGTTTGGAAGATTTTTTTTTAAGTAAGATAAAGGATTCAGCTGGGATGAACCAGATACTTGTGTTTTTATTGAGCAAAAACATAATTTATATGAAAAACTAGATTTTTGAAGCTGTCAGCAATACCACTATACACACTGGCCATAATAATGAATTACTGTTCTTGTAGTTCATGTATTTTCTATTTTCATATGGGTGTGGCGCTTTGGCCCTGTCATTGGTGTGGAACCCCAGGGGTGGTGTTTCTCTGTCTGTAAGTTGCCATCGCTACTGTCCGTGTGTTGCCACCTTAATCCTACTGCTTGATAATCTCTAAAAGCATTATACTGCAGATTTAATCACTATTATTCATGACAGTCTAGACCATGGGCAGTTGGTGGCGTGACTGCTGTTAATGGTATTGTTTTAGTGCAAAGGGTTTGATGGTAAATCAAATGTACTGACCGAGACCACCATGCCTCTTCCATGAACTTGTTCTATGGTCTGGTGATAAATTCCCTCCTTCATTTGCAATGTTTTTGACGTTGTTAAGCTCCCGTGTGGTAGTTTAAATGACTCCAGTCAACACGGAGAGGGTGAAACAATAGATTAAAATATTAATGAATGTGTTGCAATTAAACCCTTGTTGTAGGAAGCACTTTGTGGAGTAGTAATCTAGACAGAGACTGTGGTCGGTGGTGGCCAACTTTGGGTTTCAGGGTTTTCATTAATTAAACACATTAAGTTTCTGAAGCATGAAAATGAAGGATTTAGAAGGTGCAGTGCTCAGAGGTAGTACTTGTGGTGTAGTACTTATGTTCAGGTCCAGCCCCTCCACCTCCAAGTAATGTCACAAGCTAAAAAATTTGAATGATAAAAATGAACTTAATTTCCATTGTCAGCTGTAGTGCAGATAATGACTGCTACACCCTAGTAAAAATGAGTCTGATTTATTTTTACAGCATTGTGTATTTGCTTATCTGGTTTGTTAGCCTTCACTCCTTGTCGTTTTTAGGAGAGATATATTGCAGTTGTCACAACTAGTTGACATAATCCCTTCACCACCTCTGCACCTCAGGTTGAATAGACCTGGATGAACTAACCTCACTGACAAACCTAATCCTCACGACTTAGCCTGGATTTGCCAGCGTATCCTGAAACAAAACAGTGAAACCTTAACCCAAACCCATATGAATGGGAGTGAATAGCTAAATGATGGAGCGTTGAGCGCTCTGTGTCGTCATGAAAATTAGAGACAAGTGGTTCAACTGATCCTTCTGACTTGGGTTGTTTCTGTGCCAGGCTGCTGGTCTTCTTCCCTGACATGATAAATACTTCTTCTTATTCTTGGACAGGATATGAATATTTCCACGAACACGTAATGTCTACAGCCAAACAGTCACAAACACGAAGACAATTTAACACAGACAGATCATTAGCCTTTTGTGTGTCTGTGTGTCTGACATGACTATGTTTCTGTTGTAGGATTTAATAATACAAGACTTCTGTAACCAACTCTCTCAGGGCCAGGATGTTGCTCAACCCAACATTGTGTTCGCTCAGTAAAAAAACATTTACAACAAGTCATTATGTTGTATTGAGAAGATGTAAATAATTTAAAAAAAATCCTGCTCATCACTTGTGCTGGAAACATCCTGTGAAGGTTGTGTTTAAAATGCAGTCTGTTTAGATGTTGTGTTTCCTCTCAATAATCATCTCCAGAGAATTGTTCCTTTTGTGTTTACCATAGAGTTTCCATCATTTACTTTGTTATGGTTAGTTTGTCTAAATAATTAGAATGTGTGTTGTATCCAGTCATTTAACCAAAGGCTTCCTCCGCAACAATCATACTTAACAATCGGACCCTGCCTTCTACATCCGAATCTCTGAGCTGACTGCTCCCATGTCCTGTTTCAGACGTGGCTCGTGGTACTAGCTGTGTGCTACATATTTACCTATCAGTGAACAACACACTCTTACAGTGGTGTGTGTCGGCTTAGACACTAAAGTACACCGTAAACCAACCACATATTTAGCTCGTGTTTTCTTTCGTTGGTCGTTACCCTTTGATCCACACACATCCATGTGGGTACTTATCTAAACACTTGCTATCACTGAGAGATTGATTTCTGGACGAGAGTGATACTAAGTGCCGCACGGTGCCACCTTCCCTCTTTGTATGATTCATTAAACCCAGGAAGTGATTCTTTCCTCCTTCTGGAGCTTTCTTTTTGCTTTTCTTCTGATTTATATTCAGGTTATTTAAATAATTCACTATTGTTAAAAATAAACCTCATAGGCCACATGTTCTATTCTGGCCTAATGTTCTGTCCTTGACAGATGATCACGGCGGATCACCAAAGTAGGACCACAGTGTTAATCATTGACCCCGGCTGTCGGCAGTGGAGGGAGTAAAACCTAAATTTGGAGGCTTATCCATCAAAGTTACAACGAGATGAGCTGTCTTAGTCAGCACTGACCTTGTGTACTGTGATCCACAGAGTACTTGAACCTGTGTTTTTTGAATTGTTTTTGTTATTTGAAAAGTTTTTCTTTTTAAATTCAAGTCATAAAAAAAAAAAGTAAACTAAGACACTAAGACTAAGAAAAAGAAAAAAGAGGTTTTCTGTAGTGTCCCGTGTAAATTCGACTCCGAGATGAATGAAAAAGCCTACGGTCAATGTAGTCCGACATAGTTTGCTTGAGCACGTCAATGTGTTTACTGAGCAAATTCTTTAGTCTGAGCTCAAGGGATTCCTAAGCAGCTGTGTTAAAAATTAAATATTAGGACATTGAATTATAAACTGGGTGTTATAACTGGTGTGCAAACAAAGGTAAAGTCAAATGAGTTCAGTCCATGTTTACACCGTACACTGTGCCAAAGTGGGATTTCTGCACCACAGTAGAACATCCTGTATTCTTAGACCACTCCCCCCCCCCCAAAACACTTAAGAGAGAACCACAGATGGCTTGTGTACAGATTACACAATCATGAGAGTAAAGTTCTAGTGTTAGTCATCGTAGAATGGCTGATATGGTCATCAATAAAGTTGTTTACACACCCTTATTCCTAGAATCTGTCCACATCTCTCATCCCAAACAACAACTTCCAGTCAATTATATCTCCCCAGGAACACCTCGGACAAACAGGAGCCTCATAAAAATTCCCAGCTGGGATCATAGGGAGACGGTGATTTGTACTGAGTGTAAAGGTGGACAATTTCAAAAGTGTTTGTTTTCTGACTCATTTTTTCTCTGAACTAATTTTCAGAGAAACTTTATGGTGGACTCACACTAGGACTAGTGTGAGTCCAAATGCTCCGCAGCCAGACTCAGGGACTCCTTTTAAGAGTCCAGGGTGAGGCAACTGGAAGTATACATACATTTAAAGTATTTTTTTAAAGAGTTTTATGTTTGTGTACGATGTGGTTTTTTATCCTTGGAGGTAGATATATTGTGAATTAGCACCCAAGGTGGAAAAAACAACATCACATTTCCATTCCGATGGTCAGAGGGTGCAGTCGTAAATGTTTATAAATTACACCCAGAACCCAAAAGAAAGAGCTTATGTTGTTGTTTTTGTCACAGAGAATATCGTCCCAGGGCTTTACTCTGGGATAGAGATTTAAATCAATGTCCCACAGTTGGTCCCTGTGTGTTTTTCCAAGTGGCTGAAAAGCAATATTCAGCTTGTAGTGAGCCTACACCGTAATCCCTTCCTCTGCTCCTGATGACTGAACCCATGTGGGGTGAAACAACAATAAAAATACCAAGACAGACTGGAACATTAAAAAACAAGCTGCAAAAAGAAGAACAAAGTACCTTGAGCTCAGACCACTGTAGTTGGCTGGATACCTTCTAAATACTTTCTCTGTTCTCTTTAATTTGAATATTGTTGCATCTTAGAAATGTTTTTAAGCCAGAGTGAAGTAGACATGTTGTTATTGTGGTTTTCCAAAAAGTGCTGCAGGGCTCAGGAATAGTCGCTGGTGGTCGGCTCATCTCTGGCTAATGGCTCTGAACTTGATTGAATTTCTCTGTGCAGACAGCAATTTGCAATTAATGATGTTTGATAAAAACCTCCAGTGTGTGGGATGGAAAAAAAGTCGGTGTTCTTTCCAAACAGACGTTGCAAAATGAGTAATTACATGTGAAGCAATGGGCTGTAGCTCTTCCATTCAGTTCAGTACGTTTATAATTTATCACTGTGTCATTTTTAAGGATCAACTTCAACAACAATAAACTTAGTGAAGCATTTTAAGGGTGCTTTAGTTTGGAGAACCTGATTTTGTGTTGTTTTTTTAAAGCAAATGTAGCTCATGTTGAGAACTTGATATGCAGTTGTTGGAACCATAACCAGAGTCATTATCCTGCTGGACTAGATCTGACAGTAGCGATGTAGTACTTGAGACCAGTCTTGGGCTTGAGACTAAATTTTCAAGTCTTGCTAAAACAGTTTTAGTTTTAGCAGTTTTAGCAGCCCACAACTGGCCAACTGTTTATCTGAAACACTAACATGTCTCCTGACAATCGTTGCCAAGTTGTTTATGAGTTTATATCCCACTAGTGTCTGTACGAATGAAACTCGACTCCGAATGGAATAGTCTGCGCTCATGGGTAATGATGCCATATTTGTGGAAGGCTAATAAATAAACCCAGACAAAAGAACGACTTCTTGGTTGAACGATCTGCTCACTGTTCATGTGGTCCTTGACCAGACAATGGTACTAAATATGTGGCGGTCTATATTTACACATACATTTCAGCAGTGGTGCGCTTCCTCCAGCCAGATATATGTTAGCATGACACATGTTGCATTGTAGCATACCAGCCTGCCTCCAGAGAACAAAACAGGTCGTGTGTACACACGTGTATGAATTACACTGTTTCCATTCTAATTATGGCAACTGTAGCACAGGGGGTGGTGTAGGGTAGGGTTGGAAGGGGAACATGTAAGGAGTCAATTGGAGTCATGTTAGCATGAAGCCTATTAGCTCTAACACCAGGAGCGATGCTAACCTGAGCATCATCTCTCAATTTTTTTGATCCGTCAGTCTTCGCCCACAGACAGACTGAGTGACAGGAAGCCCAGCAGCAGCCGCTCGCTCGCTCACTCACTGAATCAGAAACATTCAGAGCTCGGTGGCTGCCATGGATACCATCCTGGAATCTGTTTGCTGCTCTCACTCTGGTGTGGATGTTTCCTGTGTTTATGTGCACGTGTGAAAGTGCGTGTGTGCGTGTGTGTGTGTGTGTCTATGGGTTTGTTTCGAAAGCCTCAAGTCTCCTAACTATGAAAAACAGCGTTGCAGAGACATAGAATATATTCATACACAGCATCCAGGTTGGGCAGTGATTGTTTTGTTTCACTGTGATGATGACATCACAGTTTCAGCTTCAAACCAACCATCCAAATGTATGTGAAATCAAATTTGAATGTGTTCATGCAGACCACATTTTTGTTGATTCCACCTTGTCAATGATCAGGGTCAAATGATGATATATTACTATAATACTAAAAACATTCCAAACATAGTCATTTTTAATTGTTTATACATTGTGGTCACCAGGAGAACCTTTCAGTTCTTCCACCATCCTCCCCTGCTACAGCATCTGTGCCTGTATAATGGTGTGTTGGTTGGGGTTCTGACAGTTTTGGTTATCCAGCTACATCCAACTCCTACCATATCATCTGGTTCAACGTTATGACATTTCTTACTGAGAGATTAATTTAATTTTTTTAATTAATTTCTTTTTCCATTCATTCTTCAGGAGGTGCACCGGATCACCACGGGAGAGGTGGTCAAACGCTCGGGAAAAGATGACGCAGCGGCCAGTGAGGTTGGCTGGATGACCTCCGTGAAAGACTGGGCCGGGGTCATGATATCTGCTCAAACGTTAACAGGAAGAGTTCTGGTGAGTTCACACTCACACCGTCCCCCTCCGTTTAATCTCCCGAGACTTTGGCCTACATGTATCAGACCGTCTGTTGAGACGTCAGCTGATCACGATCATCCCTGATGATCATCATGACAGCTTTGACGCTTAGGTTGAACTCCCCCTGTGGGGGAGATGTAGCATATAAACATAAATTACTATGCAGGAAGCCTGCCTGGTGACAGTTGGTGGGGGGGCGATTCAGACACGCTGCCAGGTTTCTTGATTATTTTGTTTTGCTGTCTTTAACATAACTAGACTGATTTAAAGTGATTCGTTTAATAATTTAATATAATAATCCCGACACATACTCCGTCGTACTAGTGACACACATACCATACCACATATCAGTGAACTAAACAGGAAGTATGGCATTTCTAATAGACTGGTTTTGTAAACAAAGGTCAGGTCCTTACTTTTAAGAATAAACTTGTTGCAGACATTTCTAGCAGGATGTTAGCTTTTATTCCTTTTCAGTTATATTAATGATAATTATAAACAGTTTGGAGGAGTGAATGATGATAAAATGAAAAAAAAGGCCCGACCCCCTTTTCCACCCCCCCCCCCCCCCCCCCCAAATAGGATGCATCATTAGCAGTTGGCTCAGCATATGGAGGCTGTTTATCAGAAATACATGGCGGGATGCCACACTGGAGCTTATGGTTTCATTTGTTTAGTCATAAATTACCTTGTTTATGTTTATGGCACAAAAGGGAGATAAGTGCTACCATTCACGATGGGAAGATAAAAAAAAAAGCTAAAGTCCAAATTACGGACATAAAAAATTCATAAATCAACAGAGATTTTTTTTTTTTTTTTAATGTCTTCTCCTTCTAAATGTTGTATGAAACTCCTGTGACTCATGCAGCAGTGTTTAAGGTTCCCCAGCGGCAGCTTGGTATTAGCTCCTCGTTAGCACAGATGCTCTCGATGGTTATTGGCGATTGAGCATGATTCCAGTGCTTCACCTCAATTCAACTCATTTCTGCGTGTGTGCGAGTGTGCAGCCCAAGTGCTCCGTCTCAATGATGGCCTGACACACAACTGTTAAGCAGGCGCTCATCAGTTACCGTGGCAACTGCAGCTTAGCCAGACATGGCAGATGTGTGTGTTTTCTGTGTCGGCCTGGTTAGGAGTCATATTAAAGCCTATTTAGGACAGAGAAGATAGTCTGAGTGTGTTTGTCTTTGATACAGTCAGTGCTGGGGTGTAGTAAAAATGTAAAAGGAAAAAAAAGGCTATGTTGTTTTTGAACCTATTTTTCTCTTGTAACCCTGTTGGACAGGATATAGTATTGAATGGTTGATCATCCTGTTGATGCCCTCATCAAAAAGTTACTTAAGTGGAAGTTTAAAACTATGACTGTCCAGGAAGAACCCTGTCTGCTACAGTGAAAACATTCTGTTGTCAAATGTACAGCGTGAATCAGATTCATTCAGTTGTGAAGATTAGTCAGATTAGAATTTTTAATGCATTTTAACGCATGGCTAGAATGACGTACGCTGTATAGGAATTCAATAATTCCACCATCCATGCATTTATTGTTTCTCTAATACACCGTCAATACACATGGTGTTGTTTGCACACACGGCAGGAAAGAGTTTTTGTTTCAGCAAAGTGAGCTTGATCTTAACACATCATGTGAACCTATTGTGAGCGTGCTTTTGTGATGAGTGAACGAAACACCAGGCTAGTTTTCTTTACTAATGTAAAGAAACAGTAGAGCGACTCTGTAAGTTTGGACACACCTGTGGTTCCCATCAGGAGTTTCTGTCAACTCCGGAGACATTTTTCCTCTTCTAGAATTCGTTTTTGATCATGTTTGTTATGCTGTGATGTGACGTGTGATGCAAATACAGAGCAGCCAGATTAGTGCAGTAGGTAACGTTTTGTTTTCCATTTAAATTAAAATCATATTTCCCTTTCTTTCTTATCCAAATTCAGTCCCATCTGTCGACAGAAAGGGAAAAACAAAACACATTTCTGGTGAAACTACAGGCACAATACCTTTCTAATAAGCTACAGTGGGGTTGTCAAACTCATTTTGGTTCAGGGGCCACATACAGCCTGATAAGATGTCAAGTGGTCCGGTCCAGTACAATCGTAACATAATTACCTATAAATAACAATGCGTTTTTTCTTACCAGTACCAGTTTATTAGAAAATCTTTATTTTTAATAAAATATAATTTGACAAAACATCACCAACATGAAGTGTTTGAAGTGTTTTCATCAAGTGGGCCAGATTGAACCCCCCAGCGTGCCTGTTTTGGCCCGCAGGCAGTATGTTTGACAACCCTGCGCTACAGAGTCTGTTTTTTCAGAATTTGTTAATTAGTGTACGTCTCTATGATGGGATGTCGGACTATATTTAGTAACAGACGACTGTGGCACACAGTGACTCTGGCACACTGCACACCGAGCTGAATGTTTACTTCTGATGCTAGATGTTGAGTGATAAACAGGTGCAGTGTGCACAGTGGAAGGCCCAGAGGCTGGCTGTGCAGCTGCCTGGCAGACTTCACATCTCAGCAGACTGTAAAAGATCAATCCCTGCCTTTAAGGCTATTTGATTAGAAGGGAGGACACTTCCTGATGACCTTTCAGTCTGCGAGGGTTGATCTCCTTGAGATCAACCCTCGGCTCTCGTTCTCACCGAGGCAAAATAAAATTGGCAGGGCTTGGTGTTTGCTCGTTCAATCAGGAGGTTCTTCAAGGATCCCATCTGTCAGTGTGTGCATTATTGTCCCTCTCTCCTGCACAAACACATATGCATTATACAAGTCCAACCTCACCATATGATGAAAGATGTCATCAGGTGTTTGTTTGCCTGGGGCTACAGAAACAAAGGTCTGCAGACAGGCGCCTTCAGCTCAAGGCTTAGCCAAAGACCCAGCAGGACTTGTGTAATAATACTCATCTGTTTCCTGGTCCGTCTAAGCTAACACCTGAGGTTATTGAATTCTAAGGGAAACGCGGTGAGGCCACATTTCTTGAAGTCTGCATATGTATGTCTGTGGGTGCGGTTGTCATTATCACCATTAAGGTGGGGGAGGCTTTCACCAGCCTATTGATGAAGCACAACACAGCCATCACGCTTGAACTGACACAGGTGAACAGCTCCAGTGATGAAGAGATCTTCTTGATCTTCTCTTAAAGATTCTCACACAGTCAATGCATCTCACAGCAGGGCAGGGCAGGTGACGTGTCGTCGGTTCAATTCATTTTCACTGTAACGCTGCCCTCCGTAATTGTTCATGGTTAAATACCTACTCTTGCCCTTGTTAGCGTGGGACAACGTCAACAAGAGAGCCTCTGTGCAGCCGTGGACCACGATCTCGGACAGAAATTCTCACAGGAAGTTGTGTGTGGCCCAGGTTGTTGCGTTCAAGTTGCCAACGTCCGAACATCTCCATAAATTGATAATAACAATTCAGTTGCTAAAATCATTAATTTATTGTGTGTCACAAGGACGAGGCTAGCGCATTGTTGTGACAGCAACATTTGTGAAAGCTTAACAAACATTTCTACAGGATATGATCTGTACTACCGTCTGCCACAACCTTATTCTTAGTCTTTTGTGCAAGACAGTTTAATTAAAGTACTAAGACACATATCAGCAGGTACATTGTTTAATGGATATCGCTAAATTCTAGCCTATTAAAAAAAATTGTATCTTTAATTTTGAAAGGCGTTTTAATAATTGGTCGTGAGACCATCTTCGGACCAGCGTTTTCTGGTCTTTCGCAGCTAGGGACAAATAAATTGACATTTGTCCTTAGCTTAAGACCAACAACTACAACTTAGCTATATACCTAGCAAAATGCTAATTTCCATGTCTTTGACATCTACAGATATATGTACTTTGTGTAGCAAATGATAACCAGATAATTGGTGTCAAAGGCCGATGCAAACGCTACATTTCTGGTCAATCTCAGGAAGGCGGTGAGTGACAGGGCTTTTAACCTCACACTTCCAGGTTAGATTGTGTGCAAAAGAGCTAAATTTGAGCACCTGTCAACCAGAGACATTTGGGGTCAGTGGACAAGTCTTCTGTCATTCCTGTTGTCAACTTGATTTTATGTCACCTGGGAGCAGCTGGTAGAAAAAAAGGAGAAAAAGAACTCTGTGTGTCACCATGTGGGCATTTTCTTCAGGCGGGAAAACTCACCTCCTCCTCTGAGACAAGTGCTCAGAGGAACGCTGGAGTTATTGTACACATGGAGCTACACGGAAAAGCTTTTTGTCTGATGAGAATAAAAAAAAAAGGAGAAGGGAGAGGGGGAGAGACAGGGGGAGAAAATACTTTGGTGGGCACTTGAGCTCTAATGCATCAGCAGAAACGGTTCCTGCCAGTCACTTCTGACACTCATCATTTTGTGCATCTCCAGTGACACCATACCTAAGTATTTCCAATCGTACCAAACTGAAACTGAAAGCTCTCGTCAACACCGTGCTGTATGCAACCTTTTGGTGTCATTCCATGTTGACTTCTGTCCTCAAATTTGGACATTGCGTTTTATGTAGCTTATTGGTCACTGACGGACTCTTGTGATCATGTGGCTAAAGGCAGGGCAGGAGTTTGCCACCTGTGGAATATTCTTCTAACCTGATCGTGTGTGACTTTTTCTGTGGTCAACAATGTGGCAGTTTCACTTCCACTATTTTCAGACCACAGCAGCTGCCGGGCTGCTACACCAGAACTGTTGATTAATAGGCAAAGTAGCTGATGTTATTTGAAAGCATCACCGTACAAGTAAGCAGACTGCCGGAAAGCAATACAGTATTAACAAAGGGTAGAGTGCACACTGTTTTAAGCGTTAGAATGTCTAAATCAAAGCATTTTCCTTGTTTAATGTCTGACAGCCTGCGGGCTCTTCACATTTATTTAGTTTTGACCTGTGGCCATCTGTGTGTCGGCGGCTGTGGAGTTTACTTCAGAGCTAAATGACTCTCTTTGCTGCCGAGCCAATATATTTC